AAGTGAGACTCTGTCTCAAAAAAAAAAAAAAAAAAAAAAAAAACCCGCAGAGTGAGCAGGGCGCCCCCCAGAGGAACACGGAGAAGCAGAGAGACTACGCCAAGCCCTGGCGTTTAGCCAGTCTCCTGGGAGCACCTGGGCCAAAGAGGGTCCCTCCCCGCAACGATGGGTAGGAGCTGCGCGGTAGGGACGCGCCCTCGCCTTCTGTGTCCTTGGTCACCAGAGGAACCAGGTGAAGAGAGTGGGTGACTCAGGGCCGCCCTCCCCCACTACAGGAAGAACAACCCAGAGAACATGCCCTGCTGGGGAGGGCAGCGTCAGCGCGCACGAGGAGAGGGGCGGTGCTGGGGCTGGAGAGATGAGTCCACACAGCCTAGGCGTGATGGAGAAAGAGGTGGAGAGGAAAAGGCCTTGGACTGGAGCACAGCAGGGACAAACAAACAGGGGAGGGGGCCACAGATCCTGAAACCCAGAGTGGCCTCTCTCTCCTCTCCCCACCACAAATAAGCTCCTCTTTCAGGCTTTGTCTCCTCCTATCTGTGTTCATTCCCTTTCCTTTCTCCCAAGCCTAAGCCCCAGATCTGTCAAGGGCCCCTAAGTGGAACACCCGTTCCAGGGCTTCTCCTGACTTGGAGGTCCACGGATGCGATACAGGGGACAGAAGCTGGTGCGGGAACCTCATTGCTGGTGACTTAGGTCTTCTTCACTTCTGAGGCTTGGATGGAAGTGGAAACCTTCTCTCTGGAAAGATACAAGCACACGAGAACTTTTGCACATGCTTTTCAGGGTTTAAGGAACCGCGAAGACCCACAACCCACTGCCACCCCTTTATAGCACAGTGTCAGCAGCACAGAGTAATGGGGTCTATGTGGGCTTGGAAGTCCAACAGGCCTGGGTTTGAGTCTTTTCCAAACTGTTTTTGCTTGTTAGCAGTTGTTTTGGACAAATAATTTAAACTCAATTTCTTCGTCTGTGAGATAAGGAGAAAAAGCACTTAACTTTGTAGGCTGTTGTGAGAACTGAACAAGACAACACACGTCCAATACACAGGGCACAGTATCTGGCCCACAGTAGGCAATCAGCAAATGGCGCTCTCTTGCCCCAAGCCTCCTCTTTTTGGCATCTTGCTGTGTTGCCCAGGCTGGTCTCGAACTCCTGGCTCAAGCCATCCTCTCGTCTCAGCATCCTGAGTAGCTGGAACTGCAGGTGCGCCACCACCACGCCCGGTTTCAGCCTCCTCTTTGGCCATTCAAAGCCCTTTGGTTCCCTGTGTCCTCTTGTGTCTACTCCATTTCTTATAGAATCCAAATTCCTTTAGCCTGGTGTTGCGGCATCTACAGTCTGGTCCCAGCAGCCCGTCCATTCTCTCACCCACTATTCCCCTGCACGTGTGACCCTCACCAACCCAAGCCAGCTGCTCATCCTACCTGTACCGGAAGCACCGCCAGGGCCCTGAGTTTCAGTGGCCTGCTCCCAGCTCCTCATTATTTATTCCTCAAGGCCCAGGAAAGCCCTGGCCTCGAAGCCAGGCCTGCCCCTTCTCCACGCCAGCCTTCTCTGCCGTGTGCCAGCTGCATTGCAGCTCCTTCAGGGCAAGGAACGAGTTATCTTCCTCTTTGCTGCAACTTCCAAAGCACAGCACAGGGCCATGCAGGGGAGCCAGTGCCTGGCACAGAAAAGACAGCGGACAGGCTTGCCGGAGGGGACAGAGACCTGCCTCCTTCATAGCACAAGGCAGGCATCCCTTTCTCTCACCTACGGAAGGCACGTTTCAAGCTTGGTTTTCTCTGGTGGGGTGTGGGGAGGGGGTGGATCCGTGCCACCCGCTTTCTCCCCAGTCCATCCACTGGGCCGGGCACCTGCTGGCAGGGTCGGGGCAGGCTCTGTTGCTGTGGAACGCAGCAGACCTGCCTGCACTACTGTGGCCGTCACCAAACTGCAGCTTCACAGAAGGTGGGCGCTCAGCCCGTGTCCCTCCCTTCCCTCCTTAGCCCCGTCAGCTTCAGTCTTCCCTGCCCGCGCAGAGAGAAAGGTCGATGGTGAGCACCAGAGCAAACCACAGCAGAGCAGACAGGTTTTCAGTAGGAAACTGGCAGCGCGACTGGAGCTCAGAGGGCCCAGATGTGGGCAGGGCAGTCGAGGAAGTGGGAGGCCCAGGGTGGCAAGATGACAGGGACAGGGGTGGACATCGGGGACAGGAGAGAGCAGCGGGAGGAGGAGTGTGGCCACACTGCCAGCCCGCGTGGGTGACTGGAGACCTGGCAGAAGGCCCGGAGAGACTGTGCCTCCTCCACCGCTGCTGTCCTGGCCAAACGCTGACGGCAGCCGGCAGGAATGTGAGAAAGAAAACAAGACAAACTTTGCCACCACTGCTGGTCCGGGGAAGCTTGTGTTGGAAAAGAATAAGCCACAGACCCTGCTGCTCCCCGGCCTTCTCCCACCCACATTCCTGTCCACAGGCTTCGCACACCTCCCTGCTCTCTGCCCACCCCTTCGCTGCTCCAGCCACCTCCCTGCGGGGAGCCGGGCCTGAGGACCTAGGGAGGCACATGGGAGGGATGCACGTCCAGAAGGGCAGGGTCACTTTAAACGGCATCCCCATGTCACGTTTGCGTCTGCTGCTCTGTGTGGGGCAGGAGGGGACCAGAGGAGACTCTGCAGGGATGGGCCGGGGGCTGGGCTGGGGGGTGAGCCCATCCTGTTTGCCTGCCCCCATGGGAGGGCCAGGTGCCTGTGCTGGGGGACTGCACCCCTTGTCCCATTTAATCTTTCTGATAATTTCCCGTTTGAGCTTCACACAACCTTGCAAGGCAGGATTATTTAAAATATTCCCATTGCCTATAATCCTAGCACTCTGGGAGGCCGAGGCGGGAGGATCACTTGAGCTCAGGGGTTTGAGACCAGCCTGAGCAAGAATGAGACCTCATCTCTACTAAAAATAGAAAAAGTAACTGAGCCTGGTGGCGCGTGCCTGTAGTCCCAGCTACTCAGGAGGCTGAGGCAGGAGGATGGCTTGAGCCCAGGAGTTTCAGGTTACTGTAGCTACGATGACACCATGGCACTCTAGCCCAGGTGACAGTGAGACCCTGCCTCCAAAAAATAAATTAATTAATTAAATAAAATATTCCCATTTTAGAGACGAAGAAATTGAAGTTCAGAAAGGTTTGGTGAGTTGCCCAGAGCCAGGGGGTTGACTGGGACTTGAATCCATGTCATCTTCATTCTGAAGTTGCTGTTTTTGTTTTGTTGTTTGTTTTCCCCCAAACATCAGCCCTCTCTGGGGGACGTGGTCCCATCACCTCCTCTTTCTGTGACTCCCACAGCCCCTCTTCCTTCACTCTCTCCATAGAGACTGTCGAAAATCGCCAGTGCCCCTGTATTGCAAGTCGCCATGTGGGGCGTTGGGAGGTTTTCAATTAGCAATAGTCATGCCTCGGACGAACCTCACTGGCTACCACACCGCCACTGCGCAAAGTGCCCACTCCCCTTTGAGTGCTGCCTGCGAGTCAAGGGCTAGACTACACGGCAGCCGCTAGTTGCTGGTGGCCGTCCACGTTTAAATTAGGTAAAATTCAAAATTCAGTTCCTCGGTTGGTTCTGCCAGCCCCATGGGGCAGTGTCTGCCTTATCAGACAGTGCAGACAGGGAACACTTCTATCCTGGTGCTGGGCTGGAGTGACAGGCGGATCAGGAGGTAGAGAGTGGGAGAGACCAGCCCAAGGGCTCCAGGGACAGAACTGCCTTTGTGAGGAGGCAGGAACTTCTAGAAGCCAAGAGTTTGGGTAAGGGCAGCAGGGGCTCCCCCAGGCGGCCATCTGACCCGGCCTGGGGAGGAGGGGAGGGGAGGTTGATGGATCCCAACCCCTCCCTCCGATACTGATACTCTTGGCAATACTAATGAGCAATTAATTGGCTGAGGTGGGGCCGAGCCAAAGCAGGAGGGAGGGAAACGCAGTGGAGGAGAAACCACCATCCTCTTAGCAGACCAGGGCCTGCCTCCAGGCCTGCCTTGCATCTTGGGGGCCCGGAGCAGGCCTGGCCCTCCTTTGCTGCCCAGCACGAGCTGGCTGCTGCTTCCTGCTCACTCACTCAGCCCCAGGCCACCACCTCCCCAATTAGCTTTATTAGCCTCTTGCTCACCCTCTGAGGTCTGGGTCACCAGCCCAGGGGGAGGGGCTGTGAGTGGCCTGTGAGTAACCGGGGCCCAACTATGACGGGGGTCCCCAGCCCAGCCTGAGCCCCAGGCTGAGCCCCAGCACCCCCACAGTGTCCTGGGTACTCCCAGGAGGGAGGGCTGGGGAGTTGGTTCTGGGAAGCGGACTTCCGGTTTCTGAGAGGGAAGGTTCAACCACTGATAGAATACATGCGAGGTGCGTGGCCAGCCTGGTGGCAGTGGCAGCAGGGGACACTGGGGCGTGGGGCGGGGGCTGATCTCACGCCTGAAGGAGGAAAGTGGAGGCAGAGTGATGGGGTCCCAAGGGCAGGAGCAGATGGGGACTTGGGGGTTGGATGAGAACCCCAATCGTGGGGTGGAAGGCTGGAGCAGGCACCCGAGTGCGGAAGGGAAAGCTGAAATGCCCGTGTCTGCAAGTGGAGGCAGGGTGGGAGTCACAGGCCAGCCCAGCGGAGGTGGGAGCATGAAGGGAGCCAGGCGACCAGTCCCGTGCCAGAGTGGCCGCCCCAGAGTGGGCGGCCGTGGGGCAGAGCACCTGGTTCCGGGTTAGGCAATGAGGAGCTGGGGCAGGCCAGTCAGGTGGCAGGATCGCAGGACCTGTGGCCATGGGTGCCCCACACTACAGCCACTGCCACTGCTGAGTAGGCAGATGCTCCGGGCTGATTGCTGCAGCTCCTCCCGGCCACGCCAACTTCCCCCGGGCACCCACCCCCTCCGCCCCTGCTCCCCTCCCCACAGTGACTCCTGCCCAGGGAATGTCCAGCCCTGGCATAAAGGCCCCGGCTGTCCACGAGCTGCTGTCAGTCAGAAGGCCGCTCAGTCCGAGATGGGCTCCTCTTGGGCACCCCGGACAGGGCGTGTGGGCGGGCATGGGGTGATGGCACTGCTGCTGGCTGGTCTCCTCCTGCCAGGTAGGGGCTGGGGGCCCTGGGCGGGAGGACGAGGGAGGGAGAGTCCAGGAGCGGACCCAGCAAGCTTGAAGGGCAGGGGCTCTGGAAGCTGGTGTTTGAGTCGGGGGCTGCTCATTGCCTTGTCACCCCAGGCAGGTCATGTCAACCTTCTAAGCCTCAGTCTCTGAGACTTTAAAATGGGGTTAATAATAACACCTAGCTCTGGTCTCTCTGTGTATCTCAAATTAAATAATGTATGTGACAGGAGCTTTGGAAATTCTAGAGGGTTCTATAAATGGTGGTTGTTATCATGATTATTAGGGGAGCGCTAGGAGATGAAGATTGGGCATTTAATAGTAATAATAATTGCTACCATTTTTAGAGCCCCCTTTATGCACCAGACACTTTTGATCATACATTATTAGCACTTTTGGTCATTATAAGAATCGTATGAGAGATTTGTTATTCCCACTCTACAAATGAGGACGGAGTCTTGGAGAGGTTAGGAAACTAACTGGCTCAAGACCGCACATTAGGAAGCAGTACAGCCAGGATTCACCCCCCGGGCTGGGTGACTCCTGGACCCGTGCTTTTGACCAGCAGGCATTTACAGCCCTTGAGGAATTTCTGCGACCTTCCCCTGGTCTGGCAGGTGGGTGGCATCTGGGGGAACAGAGGAGGGGACAGGAGTGAAGGGGTGGGGGGCAGAGCTGGGGTTTGGCATGGAGAAGCACACAGAGAATTGCTTTTTGAGGAGAGGGCGGGGACATCATAGATTATGGAGATCTGGTTGTTGGTGAAGGATTCAAGGATGAATGGCCGTAATAAACCATAACGTCTAACGCTTTAGGTTTCTTAAAGCACCTTCCATGTAGATGATCTCGCTTAGTCTTCGTAGTAACACTGTCAGAAGGCAGAGCAGATTCCAGTTCTTTGAATGCACGAACTAAAGCTCAGAGAGGTTTAGTGACTTGCCAGTATGTACATGTGGCTCCGTCCACACCACTTGGGACCTGGATGCTTTGGGGTGGGCAGAAGGAACTCGGGTGAGAGAGTTGCGGAGGAAGGATGGGGTAAGTTGGGCCTGGGGTTGGGAGCAAAGGGGTGGTAAGGAAAGTGGTGGTCCCACATCCTCCAGGGGAGCAAAGGCAGCAGCAGTCGGATGCCGGCCTGGGTGGGGCGGCCGCACGCTGGTGGGGCGGGGAGAGATGGAAGCTGATACTGGTCAGGAGTCTCAGAGGCTTGTGGGGTTTCATCCTGGTGCCCTGGGCTGGGCCAGCGAGAGCAGGTGGCTCAGGGTGCGGTGTCCCGTCACACTGGTACTGGCAGGTTCTGAAGCAACAGGTGGTGACCCCACATCCTGGGCCACCCAGCTTTACTGCCATGGCCAGCGCTGAGGCGGGAAACAGAGTTTCCATCCTTTGCCCAAACCTGGACTCTCACGAGGGGGCTGGCGACGGATCTTAGGCCTCAAGTACCCTTCCCTACTTCAGCCCCACTGCCGCGGGTTTCTGTCTCCCCAGAGTCTCTTCTTATGTTCCCCTTCCCTCTAGTCCCTCCGTGTTCTGCCTTTTGTCTTCTCCTTCCCTTTGGCCCTACGGTCTGGCCTGGGATTATTTCCCTCAGGATTTATGCCCCTCACTTTTCAGAGCCTCAGTTTCCCCACTCTGTCTCTTTATGGTCCTTTCCTTTGGACCTATTCATTCCTGCTGCTTCCCCCTCCCTCTTGTCTTCAGTGCACCCCTTTGAGGCCTCCTGCTTTGGAGTCTTAGTTTCCATTTTTCTGGTAGGAGTTTGCCCCCCCACAATGAAACCGCCCTTATTCTGCCATCTCCGTATCCTTTAGGGACAACAGCAAATTCTCCCTCCTTTCTCCACCCGAACTCTCCCTGGGCTCCTCCTGGGAGAACTCAGAGTGGCGGATGACCAAGACGGGCTGAAAGAGGGAGAAGCCAAGGCTCTCGGCCTCTACTAACCACTGCTTTCCTCCCAGGGAGCTTGGCTAAGAGTATCGCGACCTTCTCAGATCCCTGTAAGGATCCCACGCGTGTCACCTCCCTTAACCACCCCTGCCTCGCTGGGAAGGGCGGCTCCAGCAGCTCCAGCAGCTCCATTTCCAGCTCCGGTGGCTCCAGCGGTGGGTCCAGCGGTTCTGGCACCTCCAGCGGTGGGTCCAGCGGATCCAGTGTCGCCCAGGGTGGTTCTTCAGGATCTTCATTATTTAAGCCAGGAACAGGATATTCCCAGAGCAGCTATTCCTCCGGGTCCGGCTTCAGTCTACAGGGTGCATCTGGCTCCTCCCAGTCTGGAAGCAGCAGCTCTCAGTCAGAGCTCGTCAACTACCAACCAGGGCATGGCTCTGCTCTGCCAACCAACGCCAATTCTTCCCCCGCGGGAGGCTCTTCCCAGCCTAGAGAAAGCTCTTCCGTTTCCCAGAGCTCCGGCGCATTGAGCAGCAGCGGCCAGAGCGTCAGCTCCAACCTGCGTCCCTGCAGCTCAGACGTCCCCGACTCGCCCTGCAGCGGAGGGCCCGTCGTGTCGCACTCCGGCTCCTACATCTCCAGCTCCCACTCGGTGTCGGGGGGCCAGCGGCCTGTGGTGGTGGTGGTGGAGCAGCACGGCTCTGGTGGCCCCGGAGTGGTTCAAGGTGCCCCCTGCAGCAGCGGTGGCCTTCCAGGCAAGCCCTGCCCCCCCATCGCCTCTGTGGACAAGCCCTACGGTGGCTATGAGGTGGTGGGTGGCTCCTCCGACAGCTATCTGGTGCCAGGCATGACCTACAGTAAGGGCAAAATCTACCCTGTGGGCTACTTCACCAAAGAGAACCCTGTCAAAGGCTCCCCCGGTGTCCCCTCCTTTGCAGCTGGGCCCCCCATCTCTGAGGGCAAATACTTCTCCAGCAACCCCATCATCCCCAGCCACAGCTCTTCCGGTTCCAGCGTCCACCCGGCGGGAGCTTCCTCTGCCATTGTGTTCCAGCCAGTGGGCACTGGCGGGGTGCAGCTCTGCGGCGTTGGCTCCACGGGCTCCAAGGGGCCCTGCTCCCCGTCCAGTTCTGGAGTCCGCATCACTTCTAGCATCTCCAGCAGCTCCGGCTCTTCCTACCACCCCTGCGGTGGCGCTTCCCAGGGGCCCTGCTTGCCCCCAGGCCCCGGCTCCTTCAGCGGCAGCTCCAGTTCCCAATCAGGTGGCAAGATCATCCTTCAGCCCTGTGGCAGCAAGTCCAGCTCCTCTGGCCACCCTTGCCTTTCTGCCTCCTCCTCGACGCTGAGTGGGGGTCCCGATGGCTCTCCCCAACCTGATCCCTCTGCTGGTACCAAGCTCTGTGGCTCCGGCAGCTCTGGAAGGACCCCCTGCCGCTCCATCCGGGATGTCCTGGCCCAGGTGAAGCCTTTGGGGCCCCAGCTGGCTGACCCAGAAGTTTTCTTACCCCAGGGAGAGGTGCTGGACAGTCCATAGTCAGGCTTTGCATACGTGCCTGGGCAGGCGCACACACACACACACACACACACACACCCCATCTCCCATCTCCAGGGCCCAGGCGTAGGGTTAGCTCAGTTTCCCTCTCTCCTCCCAAGACACCTGCTCTACTTCCTCCATCCCCTCTGATGCCCGGGTAAGGTATACCTTCCTATTCCCTTTGCCAAATAAAGCAAAGTCAAACCATTATCTGAAAACAGTGACCACTCTTCACCGACCTCTCTTTGCCATCTGGTCAACCAACCCTATATGCCACCGGGCTCTCACTCCCGATTCCACCTCCACCCTCCGTTGCAGAGCTCACCACAGCCCCCCAAGATCACTGTTTCCAAACACCCCTTGCCTCTGAAGGCCTCCATCCCAGCCCCATTCCTGCCACCACTTCTCTCCAAGCTCAGGTGCTTCCCTGGGTGAGGGAGACACAGGGCGCCCTGCCCTCTCTGGGTCCCGGACAGCAGCTCAATAAACTGTGTGGACTACGTGCAGACTTTTTGCCTTCTTGGAGTCCTGCGTTTCCTCTTAGAGCCTGGTGGTGTCCCTCCTGTGCCTCTGGAGGCCCCGTGTCCCCCATTTTCATTCATGAGTTGGCCTGTATTTCTCTTACAGCTTACCTTACAACTCCTCCCACAAAGGAGGAAACAGTAAATATTTGTTGATCAGAAAGCAGAGGCCGCCTGGTCCCCCAGAGCCTTCCTGCACTGCTCCAGGAAATCCATTCTGTCCCCAGTCGTCCTCCAGCCTGCTCACAGTTTCCTCCCCACCCAGCCAAACTCCTCTCCTGTTGGCGTGCCTCACCGTCTAGACGCCATCCTCTCTGGGCCTCTCAAGCCTCCATTTCCTGGGTTTCTGGGACACCCAGGGCCTTGGGAAGGCTGGGGCACAACAACCCAGACTGGATTCCTGTCAACTGAGCAGGAGTCCACATGGGCGTTGTCCTGGGAGCTGAGGGTGGAAAGAGGGGAGGACAGAGAGATGGGAGTGGGGCAGGGAGTGCAGCCAAGCGAGGTGACTCACTGCCTACATAAATAAGCCCAGCTCGTGGCAGAACAGAGCCGCAGTGTCCTCTCCACCTGCACACTCGTGCTGCCTCTGCGGGGTTCCCGAGTGAGAGCTGTGGACCTCGTGGCTCTCAGGTGAGGGGTGCAAGGGCAGCTACCAACCAGGGCATGGCTCTGCTCTACCAACCAACGCTGATTCTTCCCCCGTGGGAAGCTCCAGTGGAGAAGAGGAGGTGGCCTCTGTGGGAGAAGGGAGAAAGGGGAGAGCATGGTGAGGGCCATGTGACTTACATGCTGGAGACAGGCAGGGGAGCCACTGAGACCGAGGCTGTTCTCATGTCCCAAGGAGGGCCCAGTGGGCTGTGCTTGTCCCTGTAGGAAGAGTGACACCTCGGAGCACAGGCCACCTCTCAGGGCCTCTGCTTGGCTGCAAAGAAACTCAGCCTTTCCCCAGCACCGTGCTAACCCATTCTCTCTAATGGGATGGTATTAGCTGGTCCTGAATTTAGAACTGTTGAAATTCCAAGTCCAGAACCAGCAGAAATGTGTTAACAGTGACCAGAAATGACCTAGGGCAGCTGAGCCAACCTGCAGGGTTGACTGAAGACACAGCATGGCTCCAAAACAGTCCTGTTTCTGTCACCACTGTTGAGTCACCCTTGGTCCAGCATCTGGCCCCCGGACTGCAGCCAATGGAAAGAATCAAGGCCCTCAGAGGCTCCGTGGATGGGAATTTTGGGAAGGGGCAGGCCCTCTGATATGGCACTTCCTTTAGTCTCCAGTGTGCTCCAGGTTAAAACAGTGGATGTCACTCAAAAAGGCCACTGGTCTCCACCCATTGGCCAGTTCTGGAGAGGAGCTCTTGACTCTTCTGCTAGCCAGCAGGGGCTGGGGGTGGGGATGGACCTCAGACAGCCAGGGAAGCCTCCTCTGGGGCCTTCCCAGAAGCAATGGAGAGAAAAAAGACATCTAAAAAATTTTATTAAAAAAACTCAAACATATTTAAAAATAGACAAGATGGTTAGTGAGTCCCTATGCTCCCATCGCCCAGCTCCAACAACGATCAGATCATGGGCATTTGACAACAGCACCCAAAGGCCCTCCTCTACTGTTCTCCTTTTTTTTTTTTTTTT